AGCTGTGACGCCTGCCCTGTCCTGAGCCAGTATCTGTCTCCAACACACCTGTCCCCAAAGCCCCAATTACTGTGTAAACCCATCTCATCTAGGATCTTTTTCTCCTGCATGTTGTACCTCCTGGTGACTTGCTTAAAGTAAGTGAGACAGAGCTTCAAAATTCTTGCCTCCAACGAGCAATGTGGCTTTACCCACTCTAGGACAGATTTGTTTGTTCTCTTGGCAGTATGTTCAATACTGTTCTCCATCACTACACTCAAAGGTGTTGCTTCTCAGTACTCTAGAGAGGTCTCTGACAGCAGATTTCCCAGTGCAATTCATCTTTTGATTTCCTGACTGCTGGTGCCAAGAGTGTTGATTGTGAAAAAAAAAGAAAAGAGTGTTGATTGTGGAGCCAGGTAAGCTGTAATGATACCAACCTCAATCTCTTCTTCATCTATAATGGTTCTGCCAATTGGCCCAGTGGTAAGAATCTTTGTTTTCTTGATGTTGAACTTCGATCCATACTGTAGACTACAGTTCTTGACCTTCTGCAGTAAATACTTCAGGTCTTCCTCAGTTTCAGCATGCAGGATTGTGTCATTTGCATAACATAGGTCATTGATAAATCCTCCTCTAATCCTCCTCATAAAGTCCAGCCTCCCATATGATCTATTCTGCATATAGATTGAAAAAAATATGGAGACAGGACACATCCCTGACACTCTCCTTTACTGATTTTAAACCATGCAGAGTTTCCTTGCTCTGTTCTGAGGACCAATTCCTTGTCCGAGTGTAGGTTCTGCATGAGCACAATCAAGTGTTCTGGGATTCCCATTCAGAGTCTCTTCTGACATCCATTTTGGTCTGCAAAATGTTGTGATCCACATACATAGTCAATGAAACACAAATAGACATTTCTCTGGTACTCTTTGCTTTTGGCCAAGATCTGACATTGGTGATACTATCTCTAGGGCCATTGCTTCTTCTAAACCCAGCTTGTACTTCTGGTAGTTCTGTTATTTTTGAATAAACTTCAGAAATTATTTTAAGTATCCAAATTAATACAGATTAAGAAGAAATATTAGCCATCCACTTTCAAAATATAATAGGCTTTCAAAAGCCCAATGTACAATAAAGCACACTTAGAGTAAACTAACAGATATAGCAACTAAGGCTGAGTCCTCAAATTTGGAAACACAAAGGAGGAGGAACAGTTGTAAGCAGAAACTAATGACTGGATCAAAATTTCATCTTGAGTTCATCCCACCTGAATTTAAAAACCAACTCAGGAATAGGCTTAAGGTCTTGAACACAAATGAGTGAAGACCAGATAAGCTGTGGGAGGATATCAAGAACATCATCCATGAAGAATCCAAAAGGTCATTACAATGACAAAGAAAGAAGAAAAGACCGAAATGGATGTCAGAAGAGACTCTGGGAGTCCAGGCCTCTAAAGATGGCGAGTGCGGTTCACTTTTCCATTCCTGAAACTGAGTCCCGCAGCGGGGACAGCGGCGGCTCCGCCTACGTGGCCTATGACATTCACGTGAATGGAGTCCTGCACTGTCTGGTGCGCTACAGTCAGCTCCTGGGGCTGCACGAGCAGCTCCGGAAGGAGTATGGGGCCAATGTGCTTCCTGCATTCCCCCCAAAGAAGCTTTTCTCTCTGACACCTGCTGAGGTAGAACAGAGGAGGGAGCAGTTAGAGAAGTACATGCAAGCTGTTCGGCAAGACCCACTGCTGGGAAGCAGTGAGACCTTCAATAGTTTCCTGCGTTCAGCACAACAGGAGACACAGCAAGTCCCCACAGAAGAAGTCTTCTTGGAAGTGCTTCTCAGCAATGGACAAAAAGTTCTGGTCACTGTGCTAACATCAGATCAAACTGAGGATGTCTTAGAGGCAGTGGCTGCCAAGCTGGATCTTCCAGATGATTTGATTGGATACTTTAGTCTCTTTCTAGTTCGAGAAAAAGAGGATGGATCCTTTTCTTTTGTGCGGAAGTTACAAGAGTTTGAGCTGCCTTATGTGTCTGTTACTAGTCTGCGAAGTCAAGAGTATAAAATTGTGCTAAGGAAAAGTTACTGGGATTCTGCCTATGATGACGATGTCATGGAGAATCGGGTTGGCCTGAACCTGCTCTATGCTCAGACTGTGTCAGATATTGAGCGTGGGTGGATCCTGGTCACCAAAGAGCAGCACCGGCAGCTCAAGTCTCTGCAAGAGAAGGTCTCTAAGAAGGAGTTCCTGCGTCTGGCCCAGACCCTGCGGCATTATGGCTACTTGCGCTTTGATGCCTGTGTGGCTGACTTTCCCGAGAAGGACTGTCCTTTGGTGGTGAGCGCAGGCAACAGTGAGCTCAGTCTCCAGCTCTGCCTGCCTGGCCAGCAGCTCCGTGAAGGTTCCTTTCGAGTGACCCGCATGCGGTGCTGGCGGGTTACCTCCTCTGTGCCATTGCCCACTGGAGGCACAAACAGCCCGGGCCGAGGCAGAGGGGAAGTGCACCTGGAGCTGACTTTCGAATACCTCATGAGCAAGGACCGACTTCAGTGGGTCACCATCACCAGCCCCCAGGCTATCATGATGAGCATCTGCTTGCAGTCCATGGTTGATGAATTAATGGTGAAGAAATCTGGTGGCAGTATTAGGAAGATGCTTCGCCGGCGGGTGGGGGGCACCCTGAGGCGCTCAGATAGTCAGCAAGCAGTAAAGTCCCCACCACTGCTTGAATCACCTGATGCAAGCTGGCAGTCCATGGTCAAACTTTCAAGCAAGCTGAGTGCTGTGAGCTTGCGGGGGATTGGCAGTCCCAGCACAGATGCCAGTGCCAGTGATGTCCATGGCAATTTCGCCTTCGAGGGCATTGGAGATGAGGACCTATAATCTCCACTGCTTGGATGTCTGCCCTCTACCCTAGAGGATTATACAGAAATTTGCCCTGTGCCTGTATCCCCCTAAACTGGGGGTTTCTTCCACCTCCCACCTTCCCTTTGTCCCCTTGACCAGGGGGCTCCTAACCCACTTTCCTTTCCACCCTGGGCTGGCTGCACAAAGGACTGCCCGTTTTCTCTTTTCAATGCCAAATTAGCATTTAGTATTTTGCACAAAATCCAAGGGACCATGGCTACCTGCCTTGAGGAACTTCAGCTCTCTTCAACTGTTTCTGGCTTTTCAGGGCCATGAGTCAAGGGGACGGGCAAAGGTCTGTGTATGGTCTGGCCCAGCTCCCAGTCATTAAACTCAGCCTGATTGCTGCCTAAAAAAAAAGAAGAGACTCTGAATATTGCACTAGAGCACCGAGAAGCCAACGCAAAGGGAAGAAGTAAAGTTAAGGAGCTGAATGAAAGATTTAAAAGAGCAGCTCGGAAAGACAAAGCAAAGTATTATAATGAAATGTTCAAGGAGCTAGAATTGGAAAATCAAAAGGGCCGAACTTGCTGTGCATTTCTTTTTTTTCTTTTTTTATTAATTTTCATAGACATTTACAGAGGTTTTGGATTTCCATTCATTCATTGCCGCACTTTTCTCCCTGCCCACTCCTCCTCACCAGTTTGCTCCCCTCTCCGAAAAGAAAAGAAAAAAAAATTCCTTCATTAGTATACAATTCCCCCATCCCTTTCCCCCGACCCCCCACCCTGAGTTCACTTCTCTATGCAACCTTAATTCTGGATTCCTATTGCTCTGCATTTCTTAAGCTGAAGGAACTAAAAGAGCAAATTCAAGCCACGAGGTGCAATACTTAAGGATGTTATGGGTAGAATATTAAATGATCAAGAAGCATTAAAAGAAGTTGGAAGGAGTATACAAAGTCACTGTACCAAAAAGAATTGGCTGACACAGAAGAATTTCAAGAAACTACATATGATCAAGAAGCAATGGTGATGAAGGAGGAAGTGCAGGCCACTTTGGCAAAAAAATAAAGCCCCAGGAATTGATAGAATACAGATTGACATATTTCAACAAACAGATGCTATCCCGGACATGCTCACCAGGTTGTGCCAAGAAATCTGGAGGACAACTACCTGGTCAACTGACTGGAGGAAATCTATATTTATTCCCATTCCAAATAAACATGATCCAACAGAGTGTGGAAATTATCAGACAATGTCACTAATATCACACCTTTTAGTTAGAAGCTTAATTATTTAATCTTTAGCACATCATACACTTCATTGTTTTTTGGGGAGGAGGAAAATGTCATTAATAGTATGTCTCTGAATCTGAATTTATATAAACAAGAACAACTTTATCTTCTAGATTTGAGAGACTTCCCATTGGCTCTGACTAGGAAGGATTCTCTGGTGTTGACATATTAGTGAACTTGACACAAACACCTTGTGGTGTGGAAAAACAAAACTCCATTTTTGTCTTCTCTTTTCCCTCTGCCTTCAGCATAGACTTGACTCTCATAAACTCAGAGACCTTTTGGGACCCATTTTCCTCCCTCTCAAAAAATTGATGGTGTTTTCCATGTGCTAACAATATTGGGGTTTTTTTAAAAAGGTAAAACAAAATTCTGTGTTTTTAGAAAATTCAGCAATAACAAAGCAATGGAATCAACCCAAGTGCCCATTAACAAACAAATAGATAGAAAAACTATGACACATTCACAGAGTGGAATATTACACAGCATTGAAAAATAATAAACTCATCAAATATTACACAACATGTGGAAGCCTGGAGGAGAGTATGCTGAGTGGACTATCTCAGCCACAAAAGGACAAGTACTGAATAATTATTAAAAAGGACAGGCGTGGGAGAAGTTAGGGATAGAAAAGGAAGGGTGTGGATAGATAATGAGCTCTGCATTAGAACAGATGAGGGGAAGAACAATTTTAAAAGAATATGTAATTAGACATTAGATGTATGACAGAAATCTGGAACAAGGGTTGGGATAGAAGGGTTGGGGTAGAAGAAAATGTTTAACAAGAAAAAAAAATATAAATATTATTTAAAAATAGTATTTCAAACTGTTCAGTCACCAGAAGTATACAGTTATAAAAAAAAAAATGTACACACTTCACTTGGCATCTTCAGCACCTTCAGCTTTCTGTGCCTGGTCAGTTTTGGCATCTCCATCTACTGTGGGGTTGTTCCCATCCTTGACAGAATCAACCTTCCCCTTTTCCCCTGTGGGTACCTTCTCTTCCTTCTTTGCAGGATTCTTTCTAGGTTTAGGCTCTGGCTTTGGAGGAGCAGGTTTAGCAGATAACCTTGCGGCTCTCCTCTGTGGTTCATTCTTCATCTTGGCTTTATTGCCCTTAATATCCCCTTCAGCCTTTCTGTTGGGCATGGTGTCTGCATCAACATTGATGGATCCTGGGGTCATTCTCACCTCTCCTTCACACTGTTCCACTTCTTACCATCTTGTACTGTCTTGGTGTTACGTTCTCACCTCTTTTTCCTGGGTCTAGGAGGTTCTCAGCACAGGATCTCATGTTTGAAGGATGCACTCCACTCTTAGCTTTTCTTTTTTGGTGGTGATGATATTTCCCCCACCCCTTCTCCGAGATAGTTCATTTTAAGCCTGTTGTTAGATGCCCTCAAGTTGACATAGACTCAGCAACAGAATTAGAACCCACCTTGTCCTGTACTGCATCATTCTCACCAATTGCTGCTTTACTTAAGCCCATTGTTGCAGTCACTGTGTCAGTCCATCTCACTGAGGGTCTTCCTTTTCTTAGCTGATCCCACTCTTTCTCAAACATCATGTCCTTTGCTGGTCCCTTTCGATAGTGTGCCCAAAACATAGAGACAAGATCTTACCATGCTTGCCTCTAACAAGCAGCTGAGCTGCACTTCATCCAAGACAGATTTGTTCTTTTGGTAGTCCATGGGGTAGTTACTATTGTTCACCAACACCACAGTTAAAAATCATCCATTCTTCTTTCATCTTCCTTATTCCTTGCTCAACTTTCACATGCATATGAAGCATTGGAAAGCAATGTGGTTTGGGGAAGATGTACCTTAGTCTTTAAACTGACACGTTTGCTCTTTAACACTTTAAAGAGGTCCTTGAATAGGATTTTCTAAAAGAAATATGTCATTTGAATTATTTTTTAACATATATTTTATTGGTTTACACAGTTATAACATTTAGTTTCATTCATGTTAATTTTGTTTTATACAATCATTCATATACATTGTATTTTATATAATCAAAGACTATTGATCTATGCCTCTTATCATAGGTTTCACATAAACACAATTAAGTGTTCTAGGATTCCCACTCTTTTCAGAGTTAGCCACAGTTTGTTGTGATACACACAGTCAAATGCCTTTGCATAGTCAATGAAACACATATAGATATTCCTTTGGTACTGTCTGCTTTAAGCTAAGATCCATTTAACATTGACCACAATGTTCCTAGTGCCATGGCCTCCTTTTAAAGCCCAGCCTGCACATCTGGTAGTTCTCTGTTGATGTGCTGTTCCAGTCGTTTTGGGATAATTTTCAGCAGTATCTTGCTTGTATGTAATATTAATGGTATTGCAGAGTTGCATAGTATTAAACAATTTCACAATCCATTTGTTTGTTGATGGGCATTTGTTGTTGTTGTTATGTGTCGTCGAGTCGTTTTCGACTCATAGCGACCCTATGCACAACAGCCCTAAACCCTGCTCTATCCTGCGCCAACCGCACTGCCTCTGACACACCCATCCCAATTACCCCAGTCACCGAATCAATCCATCTCATTGAGGGTCTTCCCCTCCTGCGCTGTCCCTCCACCCTCCCAAGCATGATGTCCCTCTCCAAGGACCCATCCCATTTGGGCGGTTTCTATTTTCTTTCTCTTGGGAATAATGCTACTATGAGTGCAGGTTTACATATTTCCATTTGTCTCAGTTCTGATTTCCTTGGGGTATATTCATAGAATGGAATACCTGGGTCAAATGAAATTTCTATGTTCAGCTTTTTGAAGAAATGTCAAACTGCCTTCTAGTGTGGGTGAACCATTTCACAATCCCACCAGAAGTTTAGGAGAGTTCCAATATTTCCACATCCTTGCCAACATTTACTGCTTGCTGTCCTGTCAAACTTCATTATTACTATTGGGTAGATGTGTCAGAGACTGGCTCAGGAATAGGACAGGGTTCAGAGCTATTGTACATAGGGTTGCTATGAGTCAGAGGTGACTTGACGGCACATAACTACAACACTACTAATGAAGTGAGTTGGTATCTCATTGTTATTTCGATTTGCATCTCTCAGATTGCTAGTGATTTTGAAATTTATTCAGGTGTCTGTCTGGTGACCATCTGAATGTCTTCCTTTGTGAAGAGTTATTTTGTGTCTTTTGTCCATTTGTTATTGAATTATCACTCTTTTTCTTGTGGAGAGGCTCTGTAGTATTTTGTAAACTTTCATTATGAGACCTTTGTCTGAAATGTTATTGACAAATGTTTTTCTCCAGCCTGTGGTCTTTCTTTTCACTCTGTTAGAAAAAGTTTTTGCTGCACACAAGGTCTTAATTTTTAGAAGCTGATTGTAGATCCAAGTAAAAGGAAATCCTTGACAACTTCAGTCTTTTCTCCATCTATCATGATATTGTTTATTGGTCCAGTAGTGAGGATTTTTGTTCTCTAAATGTTGAAGTGTAATCCATACTGAAGGCTGTAGTCTTTGGTATTCAACAGTAAATGCTTCAAGTCATCAGTGTGTAAATGCTTCAAGTGTGTCATCAGCATATTTCTGGTTATTGATGAGTCTTCCTCCAACCCTGATGGCACATTTTTCTTCATATATCATGTTATTGTTTTGCAGCAAGCTTTTCTTGTCTTGAGCCTGTCTCACTGACTCTAACACACTTACCCCCATAGTTTCTTAAATTATTTGTATGGCATACAAATTAAATAAGTATGAGAAATGTTTTCAGATTTTAAATCATACAGTATCTCTTTGTTCCGTTTGAATGAGGCTTCTTGGGCTATGTACAGGCTCTGCATGAGTACAATGAAGTGTTCTGGGATGCCTATTCTCAATATTATGCATAATTTATTATAGTTCACAGAGCCAAGTGACTTTGCATAATCAAGAAAAACCAATTAGATATCTTTCTGGCATGCCCTGCTTTCAACCAAGATCATTCTGATATCAGAAATGATATTCCTCATTCCACAGCTTTTTTGAAGCCAGTTTGAATTTATTGTAGTACCCTATTTAACTATGGGCAATGGCAAAAGCAAAACTGGTCAATCTCTTCATTAATAGCCAATACAATATTTACATAGTCACACCCTCATGGGTGCCATGCACCTTATTTGCATTATCAATATCATGAACATTTCATTTGCGGTTCCATCAATCACTAGTTTGGAGTTATAAGATCATGACAAAACTGAGGGTAGGAGGGAAGAGAGAGCGTTAGTGGCCTAGTCCATAGATAGTTGCACTGCTAATCCAGAGGTGGAGCCTCTCTGGTGGTTCAAATCCAACAGCAGTTCCTCAGGGGAAAGATAGGCAATCTCCTCTCATTCAGTTTAGAGTCTTGAAAAATCTGCTGGAGGGTCAGCTATAAGCTGATCTAGACTTGCTGGTAATGATTTTTAAAAATTAAGGTCATAACCAGGGAGGCAATTTGAAATGATTAATTACACTCTAAATATAGTTAATATGTCCTAAGTTTCTCAACTTCAGTGCTGTTAACATTTTGGACTAAATAATTTTTTGCTGTAGGGTGGTGTCCAATGCACTGTTGTTGCTGTTGTTGTTGTTGCTGTCTTCAAGTTGACTATAACCCATAACTGCCCTATGACTAATGGCTTTGAACCTTACCCCATCCTGAGCCAACCTCACCATCTGTGGCACACCTGACTGCATTGCCACAGTCACTGTGTCAATGCATCTCATCCAGGATCTTCCTTTCCTGTGCTGACCCTCCACCCTTCCAAGAATGATGTCCTTTCCCAAGGACTGTTCCCTCCTGGCAGCACGTCCAAACTATGCAAGATGGAACTTCAAAATCCTTACCTCAAAGAGCAATCTGGTTTCACCTTCTCTGGGACAGACCTGTTTGTTTTCTTGGCAAGCCCATGGTATGTTCAATACTTTTCCCACAGTACCACAACTCAAAAGCATAAATTCTTCTATTATCCTTATTCATTATCCAGCTCTCAGATGCATATCAAGTAATGGCAAAGACCATGGCCAGGATCAGGTGCACCTTAGTCTCTAGACTGATATCATTGCTCTTTTTCATTTTGGAGAGATCCTTGACAGCAGATTTTCACAATGCAGCTCATCGTTTGATTTCCTGACTGCTGGTGCCAAGATATAACCAAAGTGAAATCATTAATAACCTCAAACTTTTCTCTATATATCATGATACTGCCAATTATGTTTCACAGCATTCTTGACCTCTATTTTGAGCCAGCAGCAAACATCTCCTTCTCCCCTAGTTGTGATAACCTAAATCCCTCTGGACATTGAAAAATGTCCCCTTTTGTTGTTGTCATGTGCTATCGAGTTCTAACTGACCCACAGCTTTTCAGAGTCAGTAAATTGCCTGGGAGGAGACTGATCATCCTTCTCCTGTGGACCATCTGGTAGCTTTGAACTGTGTGGGGTGCCTTTAAAATTTTAGTGCAGCACTAGGCTACCAGAGCTCCCTAAATGTCCCCTAGAGGGCAAAATAATCCCAGGGTGAGAAGCACTGATATGGTCAAATACCTACTTATACTTTTTAATTTATTTCTTTAGTTACTCACTTTCTTAATATTTTAAGCACTAATCTATTCTTTTTTAGGATAAGTGAAACTCTGTCTCACATACTTCAGGCATGTTGACAGGAAGGATCAATCCACTGGAAAAAGACTTCATCCTGGGAAAGGTAGAGAGTCATCAAAAGAAAGAAGAACATTCAGTTTGACTTGGACCGCTGATACAGTGATTGCAGCGATGGGCAGTATGGCAGAGAATGTGAGGATGGCGCAGGACAGGGTAGGGTTTCAAACCATTGTTCATACGGTCACTATGGATTGCAGTTGACTCAATGGCACCTAACAATAACTTACTATTTTATAAATACTGCTTTTCATAATCTTCAATTTTATGAAATAAATCTACTCAAACTCTCTATGTACATCAGGGAGCTCTGGTGACATGGTCCATCCCTAGGAAGCTGCACCACTAACCCAAAAACCAGGCCTCTCTGGTGGTTTGAATCGACCATCAGCTCTGCAGGAGAAAGGTGGGCAGTCTCTTCGCACGTGATTTTTAGCCTTGGGAACCCAATGGAAGGTCAACTATGAGTTGTTTATGACTCGACAGCAATGATAGAGATACATATATCAG